GGCAAGTGCAATCTGACCTCAAAAGAGGACTATGGTGACATCCTTCTCTTCTTCATATTTTCTAAGTGGTTTCAGTTTCACTAGTGTCCCCATCACAGTGGTTGGTCAGTTGAGATTGTCAGTGTGGTGACAAAGTGAGTCACCCCATTCCATGTTTAGGGAAATTGACTTTGACTCATGTGTAGGAATTCATACCTAACTATACCAAATTAAGATCATCCAATGGGACAAGAAGGAAATTGAATTCCTCAAAGAAACATTTGGAAATACCTGTATACAACTTTTTTAAGCTTTACTTGTCTATCACATCAGTTCTTTGGATTTGAGGTCTAGAATGGGTAAATGGTCCATTTTGGGTGAAAGCTTCAGACAGTAATTTGAAATATACTAATCAAAACATTCACACATACATTCAAACACACATTTATCACTGTCTGTGAAATAAGTGGCACAACATAGCCTTAATTTTGACCTTTCGGATCCATTTAGTGATTTTAAGGATACACTAATACTAAAATAGGTAAAAACAAGTTGCAGATCTATGAAGGGTTAATTTTCCTGGATATCTGAAAGCCCTTTAATTAAATATAAAAATATGTGTGCAATGTCTATTTAATATTTAAATGGAAATGATACTAGAATATAATTGCTCATTCTATGACCATGAGAGAGCTTAAGACAAAAAAAGCACAAGATTCCTCCCACCCAACTGCCTGCCTTCTAAAACCATGCTGTGCTCGGGGCTAGAAACAGCTACTTCAGGCCAGACTGTACTTTCAGAATCACTTCCCCATTTAGCCTTTGATGTCTCATAGATAGCAAAATAACACTGGGCCTTGAGACAATATGCTGATGTCACTGATTTTCAGGAGAGAAGAGAGACTCCTCCCTTGGTGCTCATGACTAAGGCCATCTGGGTGGAAACAGGCTCCTGGTTGCTTAGGAATTCACTGGCTCTTGCCCGTTTGTTTCCCACTCAGAAGCCTGATTGGGATAGCCTTCATCTTCAGAGTCATGGAGCGAAAAGGGGTTATTATTTGAAACATCTTTTCAAGATTCTTATCAAGTGAAGAAAGAGTCAGAGTAACAGTTAAGTGAACTCACAGAAAATTAATATTCTCATGCATTTCAATGGTTTCTCTGGTCTTTTATTTATTTATTTTTTTAGTGGATTTTTTTTAAACCAAAGAATTCATCAGGTTTTCTTTGTTTTTTGAATTGCTAAAGTAATAAATGCTCATTGTACCAAGGCAAAAAATTCAGAGGTACATAAAGTTCCATTTCTTCTCCCTTCTCACTCTAACCTATGTCCTTGAGATAACTCATCTGAAACACCTGATTGTGCATCATCCCATGTTTTATTGTGTTTAGATAGTTTTATACAAACATGTACACAATGTATCCCAGTTTTATAATACAGTCTATTACAAATCTTGAATAATCTCACATTATTCTATAATTTGCTTTTCAACTTGACCTTATCGTAATGGACAACTTTCTAAGCCAATGTGTATATTTTTATCGTTTTGTTCTGAAGGGCTGCACAGTATTCATGATGTGAAAGTAAAATAATTTATATAACCATTCTTTTAGTGAATAATTAGTGTTCTATAATTGTTGCTATTACATTGCTACAATTAAAATATTTCTGAACATTTTATTTTTATAAGATTGATGCCTACATGTGGGAGTGCTATATCAAACAGTGTACACATTCCTAACTTTTAAGACACATCCAATTATTCTCTAAGACAATGCCAACAGTGTCAGTATACATCCTTTGCTCAATGGCTTCAGCCATCCTGGATGGAATCAATCTTTCCAATGTTGTCAAGCTAGTGGGTAAAAAAAAAAATCACATTTTATTGTTTTAATTTGCATTTCTGTGGGACCAGTATAAATATCCAATTGTTATTTTGTTACAATTCTTATTAAAAGTTACATTTGTCATTGATCAAGAGAAAGTAAATTATCTTTCTGTTGTTGTTGTTGTTGTTTTTGTTTTGTTTTGTTTTTTAATCCCTGGAGGCAAAAACCTTGTGAGTTATTTGCTTGGTTAGTGTTCCATGAAAATACAATACTAACTTACCTAAAAGGAGACTTGATATTGGAATCCTGTTACATGAATGAAACCATGAGTGTTATCAAAAATAAGCTATAAGATTTTAACTTTTGGCCAATCTGAATAATCAAATGAGACTTGTGAATCTTCTAACCTAGCTGTCACAGTCAAATTAGCAAAGCATTAACAATCCAGAAAACAACAAAATCCACCTAGATTACCACTCTACAGTGTGACGCAATGGGAGTGGGATGGGAAGGGTCATCCAAGATAAGGAAAATGAAACTGAGATCAGAGTGTCAAAAGAGCCACACATGTTCTTTGGGAGAAAAGAATATGTAGGGGTTAGGAACAAGAGGATACTGGGGAGGCATGGCCAAGGAACAGAAAGGCCTCTGTGTCTAGAAAGCAGGGTGGAAGAAAGCAGAAGGAGAGCACAAGGGGATATAAAGATGGAGGGAGGAGCAGATTTGGGGCAAAGAAGTGGAGCCAAGAATACTGTCTGCATATGTGAGTGCGGGCCCATTACATATCCAGGGTAGATGAGCATCAGCACCAGGGAGGTGACTCCAAAGCCCGGGCAGGAGCTGAGACTGAAGATAAGGACTTAGGAGACACTGGAATCCAGGTGCCCTTTAAGGACCCTAGACCTGAGATCATGTAGGAGTCATTAGAGAATAAGAAATCAACAGTGTGTATGTGGAGACAGAACATCACAGTTAAGAACTAATTATTCTTTAAAGATATATTATTAAACTATGATTTGTGCAAAAGGTAAGGCTTTAAAAATTATGCATAATCTTAAGTTGTCATATGTACTATTTTAAATGAATTGTGACAGAGTTCATTTTAAGGAAGCCTATTGTTGAGTTATCATGTGAAACAAAACCTTCATATTAAAATGCCAATAGTAATTAGGGAAATAAAGGGAAGGGACAGGAACGGGGAATAGGAAGGACAGTAGAATTAATTGGACATAACCTTCCTAGGCCTGTATTTGAATACACAACCAAGGTTGCTTCACATCATGTGCAACCATAGAATAGGATCCTAATTAGAATAAATTATACACCATGTATGTATAATATGCCAAAATACATTCTACGGTCATGTATATCTAAAAAGAACAAATAAAATTTTAAACGCCAATTAATAACCTGTAAAATATTTTTGGGAATTCAGTTATTTATGTGTGAGGTGGTAGCATTTTAAGTGGGTCATGGGTTGATAGACACAGATAGAAAATGTTGTGGCTTCACAAGTGAACACAGAGACTGTCAAAAAATTCATTTGATGCACATAAGAAATATCAGTGAAAAAATGTTTAAAAGGAAAGAAAACCTTGGATGAGAGAGTAATTTACTCTCAAGCCCCTCAGATTGTTGCCTCCTTACTTTATGCACCCTGAAGATTTCTCTTTCCTCCTCAGTCTAGTCCCAGCCTGGTTCATTCCTTTTAATTTGCCTAAAAATGCACATTTCTTTTCATTTATTCAAAAGACTGAAATTTGGAAATATGCGTATATCAATTAAAATGTTGATATCTAAAACATAAAGTCCCAATTGAGGTACTTTGGTTTAAAGAAGCCTGGAAATTTTACAAATGCATGACCTAACAGAAATGAAAGTAAATAGATCTCAACTAATTTTCATCTCATAATTTATCTTACATACATGTGTAACTGGTTCTTGAAAGATCATTTTGAAAGTTAAGAATATTTCAACACTGCGTCACAAAACTGAAGCTGTGTTTAATTTTCAGGTCTCTTTACAAGTGTCTTTCCTCTTCTGTCAATGACAGGAACAGAAAGAGAGACTTCATAATAAAATACTAATAAATACACACAAAAATTCATTCAAAGATCAATTTTGTTTTGGAGACTTTACACAAGTGCAAGGGATTTTCCAAGTAAGAACTGAAACTCTTAAAATAATCTGTGGCTTGAAAAAAATACATTTACATATTAAATAAGTGATCAAAGAGTAAGCAATTTTAGCAGATAATCCATTCCTATGATTCCTTAAGTGTATTGTTTGTAATAGCATAGATACATTATAAATATGAAATTTATAGATATTTATTAAATTCTAAGTGGCAAATACATAGGACTTCAAGAATAGTGGTTTTCTAATTGACATTTTAGGTTTATTCGAAAAGAGAATGTAGTAAACTAAATAAATAAATCAAGAGAAAATAAAAGAGTAAAGCAGAATAGACTGAAGAGAAATGTAGCTTGCTCAGTGACAGAACTAAATGAACAATTTTCTTTTAATCATTCACATCCCTCAGTCTGATTGACTTGTTAAATAATTAGCTGTTTATGGAAAACTTACTTTTCAACAGCCAAAGGATCTTATTTCAAAGATCAGAAAAAAAAAAAAACTATAATTACAAAAAGTAGACATTTTAATCCTAAAAATACTATAATTAAAATTAACTTTTTAATTCCAACTAAACTAAATAAACCATGTCATCTGAAAAACCATTTCAAATTCCTATTACATATTATAACATGCTAATAAAATCAGGATGAATGAAACTAGCAAAATCTGTACTTTTCCATAAATAACTATATGAAAACTTGAAAAAAGAACTAAGCACTGTATATTTATTCAATAGTAGAAGAAACAACTAAAACATTTTTAATGTCAGTTGGGGAGTTATCTCATCACTCAATATGGGCCAAATAAATAAATAAAATGAGAAGAAGGATGGCAAAGAAAGAAACTCATTAGAAAACAAAACAATGATCAAAGTAACAGTATTTGCACAGAATTTAGAGAGGCTTGAGACCAGAGGCAGACAAAAAAAACAAAACAAAACAAAAAAATCCCTGGAAGAACAGAAACAGAAGAAAAGACAAGGGACAAAGTTAAGCAGCACACTGGTACTGAGGACAACAAAGTCATCATTCAGTTCAGGCTTCAGAGTGTCTTACCTGAGTGAGGACCGCAAATGACACACAGGGCCAAGAAGAAGAGAAGGTGAGGGAGGGGACACAGCTTCCATTTCCAATGGCAGCTCCACATTCGATTTGAGTGAAACATCCTGCAAAAGAAAGAAAGGCACCATCCGACACTGTACCTTAATTATGACAACGTCATAAGGTGGGTTTCAGCAGCGACTGGAGAACAGAAACCTTTTCCAGTCTTGCTTTCGAATAAAGAAGGAGTATATTTATATTGATGGATTGACTGATGCATGCTAGGGGTCAAACCCAGCAGCTGGTGTGTGCTACACAAGTACTCTAACCCCTAGCCACACACCCAGCCCAAGAAGAAATTTCAATGATGACGACATCCTAATCACCTTCTTCAAGATGGCAAAAGAAAAAAAAATCCATGAATTTTGATACTTGATGACATTCACCTAATCAGAATACACACACACACACACACACACACACACACACACACAGAGTAGGTAATTTCTGGGTGAAAATGAGTAAAGAAATGATTCAGGAAAAATCATTATTTAAAAAAAAAAGAAAAGAATTTCAGTTTCAGTCTATTCTGCCTCTCCAGTTGCACACCCATCTAGGTAGCAAGAGGATGTTTATATAGATGTCTTCCATAATCTCCCAAAAATGTCAACTGTAAGGAAATATTTTCATTTTATAGCATGTTCTGCTTTACAGGTATTTAAGTAAAATTAAATTGATTAAGGTCTTTCCCTAAAATGAGGCAGTGAAGCATTAATATTTGAAAAAAAATTGATATCTTATTATAATAATAGATACTGATGTTTTTAAATGGCTAGAAAATGCCAAATATTACAGACACTAGTAAATAACATATAGAGGGGAGCTGTGTAGTAACTCTCAAATACTCCTTGTGCATAATGGTCTCAGCTTAAATTTATAGTCATATTTAATAAAGCTTTAGAAAGAAACATCCATATAATCTTTGCTCAAAATAGTAGTATGATGTATTTCATTGATTCAGCACCTTCAAAAGAGGCAAGCCAATTAAGGGGGCAGTGAGTCTAAAATCCAGTTACCAGTAAGGAACCACACAGGGGGTTGATGAGCAGGAGAGAAATGAGGAGGCACTCAGGTAGTGAAACAGCAGTATAAAATCTCCAGCTCTTAAATTCCTGGAAGAGAAAGCTAGTTTGCCTATAGTGGTAACTGACAGTCATTTCTAAAAGGAAGAGTAAACTATAAAATACTTGAGGGTCAGGAGGATCGAGAGTTCAAAGCCAGCCTCAGCAAAAGCAAGGTGCTAAGCAACTCAGTAAGACCCTGTCTCTAAACATAATACAAAAAAGGGCTGAGGATGTGGCTCAGTGGTTGAGTGCCCCAGTACCCCCGCCACACACACACCCCAAAAAAGATACTTGAGGGCCACTGAGAAACCTTCCTTAAAGTCTGAAGATTGCTTACCTGGGTAAAACCTATATATTAACACAAAACCCAAAAATCACTAGAGGAGAAATACTCGAATGAGCAAAGCACATATCAAGTGATTCCTGCACTTGCCTCAAGCCACCATTTTTTAACTGAAGCAAAGGCTACCTCATAGCAAACAGAACAAATGTTAGAGTCAGAGAGACCTGGGCTCTTCACTTAGGAACTTTACAATCCTTGAAACATTTACTTTATCACTTGAACTTCCTTTATTTCATCTGTAAAATAAGGAACAGCAATATCCCTAGTCCAGAGAGTTATTGAGATGATCAAATAAGATAATGTCTTGGCACTCAGTGAGTGTTCAGTAAATATTAGCTATTGTTACCACCATCCCAGACTCTAACATAAGTGTGATACTCTGTTTACAGTGAAAGCCAAGGAACCAATTTAAACAAGAATGGACAACAGGCTTAATCCTGTCAGCCAACACCAATCATCTGATTTATAGCCACTTCTAGAATCACCTGGGAACCAAACTCAAAAAAGTTATTCATGTCTGCTAGGAAGACAGTGTCTGAATCTCATGTCAGATTTTTATATTTACTAAACCTTAATTTTCAGCAACAGGCAGCTTTATTGTTGAAAATTCTAAGCTAGGACAAGGTTAAGATCTGAAGGGACTATTTTGTATGGAAGATGATAATGTTTTTGAATTCATTCACCCAAAATATCTGAAGCTAAAATCAGCTGCTGCAAATGAGAATCATGCTTTAGTAAGTAAGTAATAATAGATGTGGACTTTGGAGCACCATAGACTTACATCCTGGTCCCTCTGTTAACTTGTGGTTTGGGGGCAGGTACTTAAACTCTCAGCTCTTTTCCTCATCTGGTAAATAGGCTACCAAATTACCCACCAAAAAGAACTGGAGACAACAGTTCATGCATTTAGTAGGGGCTTGTAAAAGAGTAGACTATAGTTCTGTCTCATAGAAACCTCACATATTTAGAAGAATAGTCTGTTTTCTATTGATGCTGGATGAATAAGGTGTTCCCCATTCATGCTGTGAATGAATAAACAGGCTTCTAAAACAAAAGTACAATTATATATTCAAAGAAATTTAGAGCTGAAGTCTAACCTCATTTCACAGAGGAAGAAACTGACGTCCAGTAAAATAAAAGGGGAGACCAATCAAGCCTGGCTGCCAGCCTTCCAGATATTAACAGAGAGAAGTATCAGACCAAGAGAACTAACTCCGAGCTTCTTCCTCTTCATAACACATGACAATTCTCCTTTATAAATATGTGAATGATGTTTATATAGTTCCTACATGGTCTAGCCAATGTTCAGGGAATCATGCTCCTGAGCTTGGCTTCTCAATAGAGTTTTGTGTATAATGTTTTCATGTAACTTTTCCTTTGCTATAAAAGGTTCTGACATTTAGGGATTCCATATCCAGTCCTGGTTTTACCAAAGCTTTCTGAAATCCTATCAGGTAATGGCTTCAACTGATGACCAAGGCTTGATACATTCCAGGGCTGCTCAAGACTCTGTCAACTCAGAAAAGAAGCCCAGGACCAAGAAAGCAATTGTAACCAGACATGCATCACATGACCCACCAACTTTCATCCATTTTACTGTTTACTGAAGAACAGAAAAAAAAAATAAATTAAGAATAGAACAGAGGAAGGAAAGCACTATGGGTCTTCTCAAGGGATCACTTGGCCAACACACATCCCTGAGATTTAAACAACTTTCTCACAAGAGTGGAAAATCCTGGGTTACTAAGGTTCTCAATAGGAACTATTAAAAAAACAGTATACATGATTGTATCATTTTTATTGTGGCCTCAAAGTTCTGTGGAGGAAAGCAGGAACACTGTTAAGTAAAAGAGAGTGGTAGATTTGGATAATCTGAAAGGAATCTTAAAATTATATAATATAATCTATCATCTCATAGGTGAGAGAATTAAGATACTAAACTATGTGCCCAAGATCACAGAATCAGTGGTGACACAGTCCAAAACTCTTTGTGTTACCTAGAATCTACTCAGCTCCTCTACCTGTATTGCAAACTTGTTCCACTTTTCAATATGTACAGGCTACAAAACACAACATGCTTGGGTCCTGTTTCAGGAAGCTTTAAAATGTAACCACTTACAGCAATTAATTTAAATCTAAGTATAACCCCCTTGAAGGCACAATTTCATCCAAATTCATCACTGAAATAATCTAAGAAACCTACCATCTTGCATTTCTCTACTCTTAGTGGTTTTCCCCAAAGTCACAAATTAAAGAGAAATTAGAGAAGAAATTTTGAAGTCAGTAGAAAAATTGATAAAGTACTAATTTTATTATCACCAGCAATAGCAATCACTTCCTTGCCCATATGCCAACTGTGTTTCTCTGGCAAATCTTTTCATAAAAGGGGTTGAGTGAGTGGCAGAGAATACCTTCATTATTCAAGAGTGAAAAGAATAGCAATTTAGTTTATTCAAGTCTGTTCATAATGGTATTTTTTGTTCTGGTTAGATATCGTGTTCCTGAGCCTAAGCAACGTATCAAAAAAAAGAAAAAGAAGGAGGAGGAGAAGGAGGGAGGAAGGAAGGAAGGAAGGAAGGAAGGAAGGAAGGAAGGAAGGAAGGAGAAAAGTGCTACTCTACTTTCAGTGTAAGTCCTTTGACGATGTTGGGTTCACTCCCACTTCAAAAACACTGGCTTGATTCTCAAAATCTTCACAAATCTTAAATGTTATTTAACAGTAAAATGCATAATTGACTTATACGATAGGTGAGATTAAGTCAACCTAGAGAATTACATTCATATACACCAGATGAATACAGGTAAAACAGGAAATTGGAGGCAAGAGAGGTAGACTGATTCTGATTTTGTACTCTAGTTTTACAAAATCTTCTTAATGGGTATCCTGGGTAAAAGATATGTGGAATCTTTATGCATTTTTGTTTACAACTATATTTGAATCTATAAATATCTTCACATTTTCAATTAAAAAGGTAGACCTGGGAGCTCTGACGTATACAACTTACTCTCAATTGATTCTGAAAAACATTACCTCTTATAAGAAGAGAGTGATAAAACAATTTGAGTCAATATTCATAATAGATGGTCCTATGTAAAGGGTATACAGGCATATACCTTGTATTATTTGTATTCTTGCAGCCTTCTTGTAGATTTAAAATTATTTCTGAAAGAGTTAAATGCACACACTGACGTGTATCAGTGTTTTTGTTTCATGACACTCATTTCTGTTATTATTGCTTTAGTCATTGTAAGTTTGATAGAAGAAGTAGTGTCTCATTTGGATTTGCTTTATTTGGTTTGGCATGTTCAAGTCATTTGTATACTTTTCTATTACAATGTAAATATTTCCCTGACTTGTGATTTAAAAAAAAAAAAAAAAAAAAAAACGATTTTATATTAAATGTTAAGCCTTTGTCTTATTTTCTTATTTGCTTTGTTTTAAATTAATCTTAAAGGTTTTAAGACCTCCTAAATCATTTGATTCTGAGTAATGCTTTTAAAAGTATGAAAGATGGTACTCAGGAAGCCACACTCAAGTTTTACTGCTTTTAGTTGCAACTGATATATCCTTTAAAAATTATGACTCCAGCCACTAGTATACCCTTAATGTCATCTTATGTAGATAACATAATGTCATTCAATTAGAAATGAACATGGAAAGACAAAGTTTTTGCCCATGTATACCACACACTTTAAAGAGTCTCTATTTAGTCTAAATTCTAAATAGTTTCTTTAAACTTTTAATCATCACATTAGAAATATAAACACTGCAAGATACACAGGCAGTTAGAAAAATGGTCAGTTTTAAAGAAGCATTTGTCAGTTTATTTTTAATATATAAACTGAATCTCTTTCAAATCATTATTTCCAGAAATCAGAGTGACGTGTCCAGTTAGGCAGTAAAACTACAGGCTTCTAATATTTCCCATAAGCCAACAGACAATAGCCTCATTCACCATTCACCCTGGAAAAGCACAATGCCATGTAATTTATATAAGCCATAAATGGAACAGTAGCTTTATGTAGCTTGAGACCAACTAATGCAAGTTTGCTAAATCTATTCAGTGTCTCAGGATATGAAAAAATACATAGTCACTAAAACTCCTAACCATATTTTAAATGTATAATTTCAGTATTTGAGTGCAATAATATACCAATATTCTTTCTCTCAAAGGAATAGACAGAATATACATTTCAATAGTTTGTGTAGTTGAAGCTACTAAAATTTAAAAGATAATAAGATTATGTCCTCCATTTACAACAAGAGAGTAGAACTATTTACATTGTAAAGGTTGGCATTATTTCCACATAACATGCCAATATCTAAAAAGTATCATAACTTCCTAAACTGTTCCACATTAATTATAAATAACAAAATAAAAATTAATTACAATCTGGAAGTAGAAAAACTTTCAGTCAAAATAGCTCAATAAAGAAACACAAACCTTGTCATTGAATATTAATGCTTTCATTCTAACAAAATCTGCATTTTAACCACATAGCATTCAAATAAATTATATAATTTAATTTCATTATCAATAATTTTATATTACCTGTTGATCAGTCTCGTTTTAAAACTTGTATTCTTTATTTTAAAACTTGTATTCTTCTTTTTAAGTGTAATATGCTTTTCCCTCATAAACTATCAATATCTAGGAAGGCTGAAAGGAAACTAGATAAACATCTGCTGTTAAAAACCCTAGAATATTTTCAGGAAAAACTGAAGTTGAAAACAAACTCATATTCATTCAAAAGTAAGTTGCCTGTATGAGAAAAAGTCTTATGTTAGACTATTGGCTGTATTCCAAAATAAATTCTTTTGAATTATACCTTACAGATTCCACTGGCATCAATGAAGCTTGAAAACTCACAGGTGTGGAATTAATAAAACTAAGTGGTTCGTTTCTAATTACAATGCACACTACCAAGAACAAACCAGCAGAGCGCTGGTCTTGTTGGTACCATGCTTTCTCCTACTTTAAAAACGTGTGCTGGGGGAGGAGGCGAGGGGAGAGTGCTGGGAAGAAGGGAAAAGCCTTTTCCTAAAGCACTGAACTGAAAAGAAGCTCAAGTAGAACTGAATTAGGATCCAGTAGTTGGTGGAGATAAAGTGATTATCAATTTCTAGAAACTTGTACATTAGCTACTAGAAGTGGGTGAAATGTCTGTCAGGGTGCTTGCCCAAGAACAAATAAAACTCCAGAAGGAAAATTACATATTACAAGGAAAAGTAACTGCTTAGTTGGCCACAAAAATAAGCTTGGCTCTTCTGAGAACAATCTTTGTTTTTCCATTCTGGAAGGCAGGCAGTGGTGCTCAGCCACCCTTTCCCAGGGTCCTCCAAGGCACCTCACCGCTTGGATGACAGTTCCATAGAAGCTCAGCCTTTTAGGTTTCTCTAACAGTTTCAGTTCCCACAGACCCCACTTACAATTCTATAGGACGTCTCTATCACATAACATGACATATTCATTAATTATTTTTAAACCCCAAAGCACACTGAGAACATTTTCTTAAGGAATAAAAAGAAAGCAAAAACACTATTCAAATACCCCCAGAGATCCAAGAATAAGTTCTACAGTCAATGGTGACGAGGTGCAAAATCAACATTTTCCTTTCAACATTTTCCGGGAATTCCAGTACCTTCCAAGTCCCCAGGTGTTGATCCCGTAGCACGCTGGCTTGGCAGGGCCCGGGCCCAGGACTGATCGTCCGTCGGTGCTGGTTACTCCTTGTTTAATTTGAATCGAAAACACGTTTTCCCCATTCTTGAAACCCTGCCCTTTTTATTATGCTTTCCGCCGCCCAAATGTGAGGTTCACCTCTCGCTGGGCGGGGGGGGGGGGGGGGGGGGGGTATGGGGGGAGAAAGCCGCACACACAAGTCACAGCTCCATTTGGCAAAGCTCACTCCACAGTTCCCCGAGGGGCAAAGTGAAGACAAACCGGTTTATTACGTCAATGAAGCTGAAGTCCTTAACAAAATCATTTAGTTGGGGGGGGGGGGGGAGAGAAACAGAGAAGGTGTGAAGGAATTCTGGGCTGAGAAGGGAGACTTACTTACATGTTGGCATTACTGCGCGGAGGTCCCCTGAGGCCTCTTGGTCATCCTCCACCACTTGCGGCGCTCCGCTGCCCCGAGCTCCACGCTCCGCCAAGGGGACCCCTGCGCCTGGGCCGAGCGTGGCGGCTGGACCCTCCGTCACGCCCTTTCTGGAGAGTTCATCGGGTTTCCCGGCAGCTGGCTGCTCCACGCCCGCGCTCAGGGCGGCGCAAGGTGGACCCCGGGCGCGGCGGAGTTCAAGAGCGAATCCTGTGCGCGAGGGGGCGGGCGGCCGGCAGGTTCCTCCTCGCCCAGAAGTTTAAGAGTCAGGGCGAGACGCTGAGGCTGCAGGGTCAGCCTCTGAGACGGAGGAGTGCGACCCGCCGTCCTCGCCCCTGCTGGGTGAGGTGGGTCTTGGTCCCCCGCTTTGGGGCTCTGGGCTCCCGGCTTGCGCGAGTCGCTCTCCCCCTGCCGCCGATCCGCCCGCGCTTCCGGCGCCGCGGCTTGGCCGGAGCCGGGGTCTCAGGTGCGGCTGTCCCGGCTGAGCGCGGCCCTCGGGCGGCTCGGGTCTGGGCGCTCTGCGGTGGGGGCCGTCCCGATCGCGCCGCTGCCCCACCCAGGATCGTCAACCCGAGGGCAGAAAGGGAGAAGTCGCCCCGCTGGGCGGGCCGGGCGCAGGCAGCGGGGAGAAAGTGACCACGACAGCTGGGGGTGGGAGATTGGCGCAGAGCCGGCCGCAGCTCTCCGGCAGGGAGGGGATAGGGCAGAGCCCGAGGTCACCCAAAGGCAGGAGTGCTGAACCCAGTAGACCCCCGGCAAAAGAAATGAGAAGCTCGGAATGCAGGCAGGCGCTCCGGGGGGCATCTCCTCCCTGTCCGCGGCCGTTGCACGCCCCCAGCCAACTTGGGTCCCCGGGTCCCCCTGAGGGGCTCCTCTCTCAAGCTCCGGAACTGTAGCTTTACTTTACTTTTCTCTTTCCTCTTTTCCACACCCTCCCCACCTGATACCCCCCTCTCCTCCACCTGATCCCCTCTCCCCACCACCTTTCAAAAAAAATAATAAAGAAATGAAGGTATATTAACAAGCACTTGGAAAAACATTAACACATTTTTTTGAGCAGTATTAATTTGCCAATGCAAACCTAGCTACTTACTTGCTACCTGCCTGTTGCTCCTATAAAGTAGCTGCCCTACTAAAGATATGGACACCTCCCCTTGGAGCCAAGAAGAGAGAAAAGGGGCTGACACTTGTAAGAGGGTCCCTTCCCATTGTGTATTATTAGAGCTAGTTAATAAAATACTAGATACAAACCTTAGGATGCCAGATCTGTATGAACATCCAGAGCCAGAAACAGCCTACCCTGCCCAAAGTGTTCAAATGCAGGCACGCACAGGCCATACCCAGACGTGCCATAGAGATTATTTATCTTTGATTGGCTAATGATAAAAAACTCTTGGGGTGGAGAAAAAAGAACAGGACTTAAGAACAGACAGTTACAGGCAGAAAGAAAACTGGACTTCTGCCACCAAATCCAGGGGCTTGACCAGGGTGTGTTCTACTTGTCTCTTTTATCAGTTTTTATTTTGATGAATAAATAGGATTAATAGAGACTTTGCATTGTAGCACTTAAGGGAAAGCTGAAGTTCTCTACCCAAGCTTCTGTTATTATGAACCCCAGAGATAGATGTAAGGTCTGCACAAACCAGTTAGAAGTAACCAGGGGCTACGGCCCAGGTCCCCAAACTCCCAATTCAAGTTGGTCTCTTATACCACATTGTCCCAAAGAAATTTCTTAAGTTCTACTCAGAATTTCTTGAAAGTGACGTCATTTCACAGTTTTGTGAGTGAAATGATGAGCTCAGTGTCTTTCACAAGACTGCAAAGTAACATTTAAGGATATGGTATCATCTGAAGGCTTGACTGGGGAAAGATCTGCATCCATATTCTTAAATATAATTTTAAATATATTTGATATATATAGATAGATAGATATAGATATATGTGTGTGTGTGTGTGTATATATATATATATATATATATATATATATATATATCTGCATTAGCCAATGTTCTCCAGAAAAACAGAACCAACTTTGTGTATATATGTACCTAGATTTATTTTAAGGAATTGGCTCAGGCTATTGTGGAGGTGAAAGTCCAAAATCTGTTAGGAGAGGCCAGCAGGCTAGAAACTCAGGGAAAAGGTGCAATGGGAGCCAGAAGGCCATCTGCTAGCAGAATTCTTATGTCCTCTGAAGAGGTTGGTGTTTGTTCTGTTAGGCCTTCAAATGATTGGATAAAGCTTCCTGACCTTATTAAAGATAACTTTCTTATAAGTCAATTGATTTGAGATTTTTGTTTTGTTTTGGTTTTGTTGTAGTTATTTTGGTACCAGGGATTGAACCCAGGGGTGCTTAACCACTGAGCCACAAACCTAGCCCTTTTTATTTTATTTATTTATTTTATTTTGAGACAGGGCTTCACTAAGTTGCTGAGGCTGGCTTTGAACTTGTGATCCTCCTGCCTCAGCCTCCCAAGTTACTGGAATTATAGGTGTGCACCCCCATGCCTGACTAAGTCCATTGGCTTTTAAAATAATTGTTTAGAGTATTTTTAAATTTTATTTTCTGTTTTATATTTTGACAAGTTATAATTATATGTTGATATAGGGTACAACTTGATGTCTTGATTTATGTATACAATGTTAATAATTAACTCAAGTTAATTAATTTATCCATCATCTCACATATTTATCATTTTGTGTATGTGGTGAGAACATTTGAAATTTACTCTCAGTAATTTTGAAATATACATTTTTATTAACTATAGTCACTTGTTATGCAAATGATCTCAAAATATATTCCTCCTGTCTCATTGAAACATAATGTTCTTTGACCAACTTCTCCCCATTCCCACTGACACCCTCTACCATTTTACTGTCTACTTCAATGAGTTTAACTGTTTTATATTTCACATACAAATGAGATCATGTGGTATTGTCTTTTTGTCTATCATCAGATGAATGGATAAAGAAAATACATTATATATATACATATATATATATATATATATATTGCACATTCTATTATATATATATATATATATATACACACACACACACACACACACACACACACACACATGCACAATAGAATACTATTTAGCCATACAGAAGAAGGAAATGCTATCATTTGACAACATAAATGAATCTGGACGACATTATGCAAAACCAACTGATGTGTGTGTTAATCTCATCCAAAAAACACCTCCATAAAAACATCCAGAATGATGTCTGACCAACTACCTAAACAGTATGACTAAGCCAAGTAAACATGTCAAATTATGGGCTGGGGTTGTGGCTCAGTGGTAGAGGGCTTGCCTAGCATGTGTGAGGGACTGGGTTCGATTCTCAGCACCACATATAAATAAATAAAATAAAGGTCCAGCAACAGCTACAAAATATTTTTTAAAAATGCCAAATTAACCATTACATTAACCAAAGTCAATTGACATTCTTTGAGAAGATAGGAAAGTATTTTCATGTGCCATTACATATATTATATATTAATATCAATTATGTTCATAATTTATGCATTGATATTTTTATGCAGCCATGTGAATCACAGTGGAAATATTTGAATGGGCCTTTGCCTGTCCTTGGTCAATTAGGTTAGCAACATCTGTATATTTTGAAAGTTCTATCCTCAAACTAAGGATTTATTCTTTATTTGTGAAAGCATGTTAAGGAAATGGGGTGTCTGGTAGAAAGTACAGGGTCTCTTAACGCAATACACTTGGGTTCAAACCTTGGCCCTGAAATTTCCCAATACGATGAAGTCTGGCAGTGTAACTGTGTATTTGTAGACTGATTTATAAAATCACAACAACAGTACTTAGAATGTTTAACTCACAGAGCTTTTGGACAGATTCAATGAGCTCAGGACAGAGAGCATTCAGTGAATTTCCTGGAATTTGGTAATATCAGTTGCCTCCTCCTGCCCCACATATCATCTCATCCTAGAAATGAAGTGCCAGGACCACATTCCTCTGCATACAGGAATCTTCTGAGAACATTCCAGGCAAATGAATATTGGACATCTGCTTGAATCCCTGAACATTGATGAACACTCAACTATGAGAAACTTCCTCTTTCCATTGATTGAATCTAACATTCATGGCTTCGGCTTCCATTCAGAACAAGGACATTCTATCTTCCACAATAAGTCTTTCAAATATCTGAAGACAGCTATCATCTCCCCCTCAGTCTTCCCTTATTCAGTGTTCACAGCTCTCATTATTTTAACCATTCAGTGTCTGGTTCCTGGATTTGCTCTTTCCTATCTACAGGGGTCAACATGAACCTTCTTTACCAGGTACGCAAAGTGGATTCCACACTTCATTCCTGATAACTGTAGGATCCTTATCTTACCTGAACTGGATGTTAATCTGGTGTAAATAAAAGTTAATATTGACTTTTTGAGCAGACTCAAAAGCTATGCACAGCAGGAATAGGTATAGTTATGATAAATTGATCTGTGTGTCAGACAGTATATAAATTATTTTTTAATAAATCAAGGTCAAGAAATGTATCTTAACTCGTAAATAATTCATCCCAACTGGAAGTTTCTGTCTTAATCTCCTATTTTTTCCTTAATCAATCCATGTCCTCCCCTTTCACCAGGTATATTGCTTTCCTCAGCAGGGAGGGATAGAAGAAAGCTGACTCGTATGTGTCAGTCAATATCAACCAATCCAGCTCTTGGACATGGTCCACCTGGGATGTCAATGAGACTCTTCCAGGCTCTCTCCTGACTCCCTGATGTTCAGCTTAGTCCCTCCAAGCAGCCCTTCTTTCTGGGACTTTGCTTTCCTCCCTGGTGTCTGTCTGAGAGGCAGAGGGCAGGACCCCTTAGAACCACTTATCAACCTGATCTCACAGACTGCCCTTCCCCTACCCCATCCTGTCTGACAGGGGGAGATAGATTTGCTTTCTGTGTTTTCCTCCACATTCTTCTGTACCTCAACTCCCCTCAGCACCCTTAGGGCTTAAAGTTATGAGAAAGAATTTCAGACATTCTGAATGCTTTCTGTTGTCTCCTCTGCCCCCTCATTCACACAAGCTATGGAAATGCACATGCTGGAAACTTGAATAGAGAGAGGAGGAAGGGGAAATAAATAGAAAGGGGGACAAAAATCTAAACTGTCAAAAGTATCGTGGCTCTCACGAATTCAAGATTTCTGCAGATAATTATTATTTCTGTTTCGAGAATAGGAAATTAAAGTTCAAAATGGTTAAGCAAAGTTCCCAAGATCATACAGGTGTGAAAGACCCCGATCCCTGTGCTAAGTTCTGAGTGACTTCTAATACTGTGCTTTTCCTTCATGGCTCTAAGTCTTTTCAGATGAACTGCCAGAAACCTTACTCAACAACGTGGCATAAATTTTCTGAATCCATATCAAGGAATATATTCTGAATCCATATCAAAGAACCTAGTATATTCCATTCTGTTACATTCAGTCCAATGTATCCGTCTGCAGATATCAATTAAAACCTTAACAATCTTTAATAACTTTTTGTT